TCATTGAATAATCAAAGCACTTTTCATCTCTTTTTTCAACGCACACTCCATCAACTAAAATGTGGTTTTCATCACACATAATACAAAAAGAATTCACTTGATGCAGACAGCCAGCATCATTTAAATCACTTTTTAATGTTTCTGAATTAAAATGTGTTGTGTTTGAATATCCGAGAACGCACAAAGATGTATTATTATCAAGGATATAAGGCGCATAACATTTTGAACACAATTTATTCCCGTTGTTGTATTTACACAGTTGGCAATTTGGAATTATTTCATAACAACTCATACACCCGTTTGAAGTGACTTTCACTTTGCCTTTTTCGCATAATATACAATTTTCACCAACAGTAATATATTCACCAGAACATGTCAAACAGTCATTACTTTTTGGTGAGCACTGCACACAGTTTGTTATTAATGGACAATTGTAGCAGTTGTCATTTTTTAGGTAATACCCACTCAAACACTCTACACACTTTTTCTCAGATTCGAATTCATTTGCACCACATGAGGCACAATTATCGTTTAATGAACATGATACACACTCTTCATTTCCAGTGTTTTGGTTTGTAACTTGTTTAAAGCCAGACTGACACATTGTGCACACACCACTTTCTCTATAACAATTTATACACTCACTTGGACATGGCAAACACGATGATGTACCACCACTTGAATAATACCCATCAACACAAATTTCACAGTTTGCATTGCCCGTAAATTCATATCCAGCATAACACGTCAGGCAATTGCCACTGATATTATCACACGTTTCACACTTGATATCACATGAATTGCAATATGTTTGTCCTTCATTTGACTGATACGTTTTGTTGTCACATTGTTGGCATTTTTTGTTTGCTGAATTTGCATAAGTTCCAACTGGACAAATGTTACAATTAAACGACTCATCCAATCCATACCCAGAAATGCAAGTTATGCAATTCCCATTCGTCTTGTTACATGTTAAACATGTTAAACTGCATGACAAACATTTTGATGATCCTTTTGTGGAATAAAAACCATCTTCACAAGGTGTACAGTACGTTGATTGACTTATTGAATACGTTCCTGCTGGGCAGACATCGCATGTGTTTGTTTCTTGATTTGCTGCTGTTCCAGCTTTACATTGAATGCAGCGGTTTTCTGATAAAATACAACCAGACAAACAAGACGAGCAGAATCCGCTTTCTTTTTCACATGAAGTGCAATAACTGTTGCATTTTGTACATGAAATTGAAGATGGTGTGTTTGAATAATAACCATCACTACATTGAGTACATTTTTCACTTCCTGGTATATTTGAATATGTTCCTATTTGACAGGGAATACATTGAAAGCCATCCCCATACATCCCAATTACACAATCATCACAACTATAATCGTTAACAAACTGCCCATTCTTACATAAGGTGCAATACCCATTAGTTTGGTCACACTTAACACATGAAGAACAATTCATACACATCGAACTATTTGCAAAAGAATACGTTTGATCTGGGCAACTTAAACACCCATTTGGACTTAGATATTGACCAACCGGACAACTCTCACAAATACCATTTGAAAGAAACATGTTTTCATAACAACTCAGACAGTTTCCATTTGTGGAATCACATGTTTTGCACATTGAACTACATGGGGTACAAGAATTACTTCCAATTAAAGAAAAGGAATTAACCAAACATTTTGTACATGAAATTGTACCACCTTCAGAGAAATAACCGGCTTTACATTGTTCGCAAATACCATCAGATACAAAGCCACAACCACTCGAACAAGAGAGACACTTCCCAGTTGTTGAAATACACGAAGTACACATGGTACATTTTAAACATGAAGAAAACCCACTTAATGAAAAATAACCATCTTCACACCGTGTACAACTCGAAGATCCAGATGAGGAAGAATAAGAGCCAGCACTACAATTACTACATGTTGATGAACCCAAAACCGAATAAGTTCCAGCAGAGCATTTGGTGCAACTTTTTTTATTGTCTCCATTTGAATAAGTCCCCGGTCCACAATTATCACAAGTGGAAGAAGCCAATTCTTGTGCGTATTGTCCATCTGGGCAAATAATACAGATAAGAGCACCACTTTTTGAATAATAACCCTTTTGGCAAGCATATTTATTTAGTCCATCTGGGCAATAATATCCAGCGTTACAAAGAGCACAACCATAATTGGTAGGGTAATACCCCAATTTACAACTCAAGCATGTGTATATGATGTTTAGGTAAAAAAAAAATTTGAAGACCAACATAAATTCAAATTCAAGATGTGCATTTTAGTTTCATTTTTTGTCGATTCAAAAGTTAAGATTTTATTTTAGGATCAACTATTTTTTATTATTTTTATTTCAAATAAACAGAAATTAAATTATTATAAAAATTAATTTTATTGTATTCAAACCCTTCAGTATTAAAACAATTAAAAGTATTTTATAATTTTTTATTTATTTTGAGTGTTTGTAATTAAAATATATTGTTGATAATTATATAAAAAAATTTAAAAGCTTGAAACACATGAAAACTAATAATATTTATTAATAAATATTAATATATACTAATAAAAAAAAATCAAATAGTTACAATTAAAGTTATCTTTTTATATTTCATAGTTATTAATAATTTGAATTTCGAGTTTTTGACTAAATTTAAATAAAAAGTTAAGTCAATCTTTAATAATTGTTTTATTGATATAAATATTTCGATTATTGTTTTATAAACACAAATATTTTAAAACATGTATGTTGGGATGTTTTTTTACTGAATAAATCCAATTAAAATAGCTCTAATTTTAATGAACATCGCCAATTTTCTCTTTTTATGTTTATTATTTTGGTTTATCTATTATATAGTTCAATCATTTTACTTTATGCAAAACTTTACATTATACTAGAAATATTTTAAAATATATAATTATTTTATTATATAAATGAATTTTTGATTCTTCCAAAAATAATAAAAATAACACAAAATAATTTGAAAATACGATTGATTTACATTTTTCACTATTGTAAGTGAAAAATAAACACAAATGTTGACAATAAATTATAATTTTTAATAAAGAATATTAATAAAGATTAACAGAAAATAGTCGTACAGTAGGAGGAAAAAGTGGGATGCTGAGAAAAAGGGGGATGCTAATCTAAATATAAATTTTTTTTGGTGTTTTTCATTTTATTAATTATTTGAATGATTATTTATATTATAATTTATAGTAATTATATAAATAGTAATATAAGTGGGATGCGGGTCTTAAATTAATACTAAATATTTACTATATTTTATTTAAATGTTTTAACAAACTAATAAATGAAGTTGAAACTCAGAACTGTTATTATCAAATTGAATAACAATATCACCCGTTTGTGCTTTTAAAGAGATTATTTAAGTGTTGAGTCTATTTTATTGATGAAATATATATTCAATTATACATCCACATCAACTAACACATAGAACAGAGAAAGTGGTGGAAAATGATAGTACTTCATGAAAACGACGGAAGTAAAAGAACTCAATTGACGCTTCTACAAACTTATAAAATATTATTTGTTTGTAAGTGGAAGTATGGTTTTAAAATACAGGTTGATGTTTAAGCTTACTTCTCCAAATCATTCCAAAATATAAATTCACACTGTTTCCATTGTGGAATGGTGTTGTGTGTTGGCTACAGACTAAATGATTGTTTAAACTTGTTTTATTTTAACTACTTTTTATTTAGCATTACAACGTATAGTTTTTTATGTCTGCTTAATTAAATGCACATAATTATTAATTCATTGTCCTATATGGTTATGATAGTATTGAAAATAAACATTAAACATATAACTTATAACGTCTTGGTAGAGTTGTCATTCGTCAAGTCAACATCAATATACATTTAAAAATTAATAAATAAGAATCAATCAAAATGAAAGATATGAACAGTCGATTGTTCAACAAAAAAATGTTGTGGTTTAATTTTTTTTGTTATAAAAATAAAAATACAGTAAATCAATCAAACTTTTAGAAGTATTAAGAATATACATTTTTTGAACATTTTATTTTTTGTACAAAAAATAACCAATAGTTGCGAGCATCCTCCTTTTTCTAGCATCCCCTTATTTCCTCCCACTGTACAGCAAGAAAATTGTTGTACACTTGTGATTTTAGTATCAAACAAACCAAAAAATCGGGAATATTTTTTCACATATAAAAATTGACTAAACAATCAGGAAAAAAAATGGGTTTTGAAAAAATAAAAACCCGACTTTATACAGAAAAATGCCTTAAAACAATGTGTACGACTATTTTCTGCTGTACGACAGTTTTCTGGTGCTCTTTATATCATGTTTAATTTTATATGTTGTGATAGCCTTCAATTATCAAAGCAGATGTATAGTAAAAAAACAAAGGCTATTTAATATAATTTAACTATTTAATCAATATAAAAATTGTTTAATTTATTTAATCATCGAAGAACAATGAGCATTGTGTAATTATGACCGTTAAAGATCATCTTCAATGACAGCCCATTTTATTTTTGTTATTTAATACACCCGTAGATTTAAAAACCTTTAACCTAAGTAAACTTCGTCAAAAAAATAGCTCACATTGTTTGTGTCATTAACCTATTATGTACAATAATATTTCCTTTGGCAAGCTGATAATAAGTATTACACGAGTTTGCAAAACATAATAAATACAACCCATTTTATTTTATTTTAATTTGGCATCTGAAATTCTTTTTACGATGGCCAAAGGCGTGGAGTAGACATTTTAAAAAATATTTTTTTTTATTTTTAAAGTTTTGGTTTTCTTGTTAAAAATTTTCGAAAAACAACTTTATAATATCTATTTGCATAAAAGGCGACCTTAAAGATTCATCAAAATACTCGAGCTGACAATATTTATTTGAAGTCAAAAACATACGTAAAATAATTAAGAACTGGTAACAAAAAGTTTGAAATGTGTGTTAAATAATTATAAATATAAAAAATTATTAATTAATTATTTTTTATGTTTAAAAAAATTACAAAAAAATTATTTTGGTAAACAAAAAAATAATTGAATATCTTTTAAAATAATCATATTTAATCAATTGTATTTTACATTAAAAATGTTGTTTTTGATATTCACACATACAGTTACCAATATGACAAGACATGGAATGATAAATAAATAATTAACAATCATGTTTAAATGTAATTTTTGATGTAAACATAAACCAAAGATAATAATTGTTTTTGAAATATTTTTAATAATTGAATATATCTTTTATATTCAAAAAAGGTGTGACTATTATCATCGTGTAACTACATTTAAAACGATTATTTTCCAATAACTCACTGTTGATAATAACATGTATATAATGGTATTTGATATATATTATCTTTTTAATTTATTATGTCTGATTACACACATAAATAACACCAATTTAAAAATGACATCATAACTGTTATTGAACAGTGAAATAATAACACGATTATACAGTTTCTTTTAATGTTTGTATTTTAATAATTAAAATAAAATGATTCACTTTTATACTCTATACGCCCATTGTAAAAACGGATAAAATTATTAAATGTGTAAACTTTTTGAGTGTGTAAACATATAATTTCAAACTAAACAAATTCAAAATTATTATAATATGAAAAGAATGTAAATAAATATTTTAACGACTTGTGGTTCACACCTTTATGTACATGTAATAAACATAAATAATATATTCACTGGTTAAAATTACTGACAACCACATTAATTTTGTTTATGATAATAAATCAAATACACACAGGAACAAATTAAAAAAGTTGATAAAAACTAATTTGTTTTTTTAATTACATTAATGTTGTCACTTAGATACGATTAAATATTTTTTTAAATTTAATTAAAAATATGTTTTCTATTTTATTAATATACAATTTGAAAGCAATTGAATTGTTATTGAATGTTTGTGTATTACTTAGATAATTTATGTATCGAATTATAAATCCAAAAAGACAAACATTTATGTTCTAATGCACTTCTATGTATGATAAAATGTTTATTTTTATATCTTATTTATATATGTGAGAGAAAACAAGCTAAAAACAGAAATGTCTTAAACTGTGTTATTCCAGTAATTTTAGTGTAATGATTTTAAGTTCGGGTTTGATTTTACATGTTTTCACACTAAAAATTTATCACGTTTTATTTTTGACATTTTATAAAAATGAAAATGTTGTGATTAACAGTGAAACCTAATACACAGTCTGTTGTTATAAAATTATTGAAATTAATAATCAATTAATGTTTCTATTATATATAATAATAATTGTTGTAGTGTTACCAAGGTATACATGTTTAATTATGTGTTTTTACATGAATAACAAGAAAACAATAGTTATAAAAGAATAATAGTGTATAACAACTCTCTTATATGTAATTATCAACAAAAAGTTGTTGAATGAAAATTGTCTACACCGAAGTAGTTACACAATGCAATTGATGATAATTGTTTATTTTTGTTTTAATAAATATCATAATTATTTCACAAAAGTTATTATTTACAATAGATAAATTCAATGTAATAAACAACTATAATTTAAGTGGAAATTTAATTTGAGAATTTTTTGTATCAACACTGTTGTATATTTGATTTTTGTTTATTTGAACGTTTAATTGTGTTAATTAACTTTGTTATGAAAATTGATAACACGATCTGTTAAGGTTAATTGTGATTGTGTACAATCAATTCGACAATGTACACATTCATAAAAAATCATGAAGCTTTGAAAAAAAATCCTTGTTATTTAGTAAAGAGGATAGTAAAATGCTGATTTACAAAAAAATAATCAATTCGACCCAAAATATTTTAAGATTACTTGGGTAGTGACAATCTCGAAGGTCATTTAACAAACACAATTAATATATTCAAAATAATGACATGTTTAAACACTTTCATATGTTTAATATGAAAAACAATTAACTGGGATAAAAAAATCAAAGCTTATATGTTTGGTCTTTACTTGTTATAAATTTTTAACTAAAAATGCAAAAATTGTTTTTTGTTTATTTCAATAACAACATATGTAAACAAACTGACCAGTAAATTTAAAAATTACAAACAAGTTTTATATCAAATGATTTACTTAATTAAATATCATCAAAACTAAAACAATAAAAATTAAAACAAATTGTTTTGATTACTTTTATTAAAAACACAAAATTTAAATAAACAATTGTTTTGTTGTAATAGATTCACACTTATATAGTGGTCGTATCGTATCATATATTTTGGATAGTAATTGTTTTATTTTTTTATTTTTTGATTATGAGTGTGTTTTTTTATTATCAGTCTTGATCAGTCGTTTGCAATTATTCTATTAATACAATTAAATATGTTATTTGGAAAATAAAAAAACATATCCAAAAAATAAAAACATCACTTTTTTAATTTTTTGAGTAACATAAATTACCAAGTATATTAGTTGTATATTTGAATTGTGATAAGGTAAAACTTCGATTATTTCCATTTTTTAATTTGAAAACCTCGACACTTACCAAATTGAACATTTTGAATTTTGTCGTATATTGCTATATTAGTTATTAATTTGTCATTTGTAAATATTTGTCACAAAAAAATTATGTAAAAACCACAGTTAATTAAATTATGATTAATTATTAAAAATCCTTAAATTTTTGAAAACAAATAAGCATTCTATTCTGGCTATTGTTCAATGGGTTGAAGAAATCGAATTACTTATGTTTATAAACAAACTATGTGAATTGTAGGTATCAACTATAAGTATAATTTGTTTATCTTGAGTAATATTTAAAGTTTAATTAAATTTAATTTAATTGTAAAATAGACCAACTTTAGATTACTTCGCATTTTTCCAAAAAATTATAAATAACCAATCAGATCTTAAAATTGTCAAGGTTTGGAAAACGTCAAGGTTTGTAAATAATAAAGGTCTTACTATATATACGAGTTTGTGCTTATAATTAAAGTAAATGATTATACAAGTTAATTATTAATAAATTGTAAAAATATTAATATAATATATATATATATATATATATAATTTATTAATTTTATTTTATTACAAATAACATTTTTATAACATTTGTGTGTGTAATCATTTTTTGTTGTTTAAAAATAATAAAAAAAACGTGTTTAGAAAATTATATCATTTTTGAAACAATTATTGTAAAAAAAAAGTTGAAAAATCAGTTTTCGAATATTTGATGTTTATATTTATTGTTTAATTATAGTTAAATTACAATTAAGCTCTTTTGATGAATTTTTCTTTATGTTGTACCACATCAAAGACAATCAAATGAAATAAAAATACTCAAAAAGTTCTTTATACATTATATTTACCAAAAATATCATACAAAAACTTACAAATTTACAACAAAAATACCTAAAAAAAAATTCGGAATTGATTTGATTAATTGTTTTTCAAACAAATTCCAGAAATATGGTTATAACAAAGTTTTTATAAAAAATAATATCATGAATAATAAAAAATTAAAAGTGTGTTTTTATTTTGAAAATTCGACTGTTGTTTTGTCATTTTTGCTTTGTAATTAATTATAATAAAATGTTTTTATACCCAAAAATAAAAAACCTACAGGTTTACCAATAACATTTAAGTTGGTTTTTATTCTTCAAAATCAGATGTTTGCTCTTGTTCTTGCACTTGTGTTTGCTCAAATCAACGCAGAGAAGTCTAACCCCGACTGTTCGACAGCATCTTGTGTTTCTTGTAACTCTGGATCGGACAAATGCGTTGAATGCAAGACCAATTATATTTTGAGTGATGGTATTTGTATTCGTTTGTTTATTACAATACTTATATAATCTTGATATATTGCAATTATGTTAAACAGTAATAATGCCAATTTTATTATAAAAAAAACACAATACGTTGTTTATAAATATGTATTTACTTGTAACATCTTCACAACTAATTTATAAATAAAATGAAATGAAATAACAAAAAGATAAGAGTGAGGCACACTGTGATCAGGTCTATCAAGGCAATTGCGAGCAGTGTGAGACTGGTTATCAACTTGATGCAACAACAAAGAGATGTGTTGGTTTGTTATTCACATCGTTATACACAAATAACAAACAGAGGGCGATTATGCATGCCAGCAATACAATGCCGATGGCACATGTTCATCGTGTTCATTCAATTACAAGTTTGTTGACGGCGTTTGTACACAGTGTGCTGAAGTTGCACATTGTTCTGCATACGATGACAATTGCACGTGCACTGATTGTTTCCTCAATTACCACCCATCTGTTGATCACCTCTGTGAGACACAGGACATCTACTGCATCAACTACAGATTGGTCGACGAAGCGTATCAGTGCGATTCATGTGTCACTGGCTACTATTG